TGAAGTGAAAGAAAATTTAAGTGGTAGAGCCTCTGTCTTGTTAAAGTAAACCAAATTGGTCCTATGAGGAATCTAAATTGCAGTGGGAGGAAATCCATTCTTGTTAAATGTTCCAAATAATGTAGAAGCAAATTCTCAGTGATGGGAATTAGAGGAACCAGCCCAGGTTCTCTCTACTGCCAAGGACCTATGGCCGAGTGTCAGCTTTAAAAGAAGATATGAGGGTAGATGATGTTAAAACCAGATGGGAAGTCAAGAAGGGAGCCTGCTTCACTCTGGACAGCTCGAGTCCAGAATAGCCTCTGTAGGTCTGAGCCTGCGTGGGGACAGACGTGGGGCTGAGGGCAGCAGAGAGCAACAAGGATGGTGAGATTCAAGTCCAGGGTCAGTCGGGGGCAGACACATGAGAAGAGGAGGCTTAGCCTGGAGAATATTTAAGGGTGGGGGTACCGCCCCTGTCCTCAGATATTGGAAGGGCTGGCTTGTGGAAGCAAGATTTGACTTGTTCTGGCATCAGAACAGAAGTGGGACTGACGGGTAGATTTCAGCTCAAGGTAAAGAATGACTTTTTAACAATTAGAGTTTTCCTACCACAGTTTCAGCTCTCCTGTAAGGTGAGGAGTTCTCTGTCACCAGAGGTATGCATTCAGAAGGTGACCATCGCTTGGGAGGTATGGCAGAGAGGACTCAAGCTGTGACATCTATGGACCCAACCAACTCTGGAAGATAATACGATTCTGTAATTTCTCCATCTCCCCTCCTGCCAACCTTCTAGGATAGGAAATCTAGGCAGTAAAGTGTGATCATGAATTCCCTAAAGTCAAAAACATAGTTTTTTTGTCTTCTGTGATGTGACATTCCACTCTCAAACCTGTTGGGTTTGGTCATATCCGGTTCATCTTGCATGTCGGCAGGAAAATGATCTAAATACTTTTGAGCCCCATCAGGGCAGGAGGAGGGCTTGGAAAGACGTTAGTGAAAAGCAAAGTCAAGCTGGAGAAGTGTTAGATAAAGTCTAAAATCCCGAATTCAGAAGGAATGTGGGAGGAAATTACAGGGAAGGACATGATGACTCATGTCACTGGGTCACTCCCGAGATGGGGCATGATTCCCAAATGGGCATGAGCGTGGGTGAGGAGTGGACAGACAGAGTGTTTGGGGAATCAGTGTGTTCAAAGCGTTGTGTTTTGTTTTTGTTTTTTTTTTTTTTTGAGACAGGGTCTCACTCTGTCTCCCAGGCTGGAGTGCAGTGGCATCATCATAGCTCACTGTAACCTCAAACTCCTGGGCTCAAGTGATCCTCCTGCCTCAGCCTCCTGAGTAGCTGGGAATACACCTGGCTAATTTTTCTATTTTTTGTAGAGACGGGGTCTTGCTCTTGCTCAGGCTATGCAAGCATTGTTGATGAGCTCCAGGGAGAGGAGGGCAGCGTGTAAACCTGGCAGGGGAGCGTAGATGACGAAGCGATGGTGTCTTGCTTAGTCTACTCCGGCTGCAGTAACAAAATACCACAGACTGGGTGTCTTACACATCAGAAATTAATTTTCTCGCTGTTCTGGAAGTTAGAAGTCCGAGATCAAAGTGCTGTCAGGGTTGATTTCTGGTGAGACCTCTCTTCCTGGCTTGTAGGCAGCTGCCTTCTCGAGGTCTCCTCATATGGCCTCTTCTCTGTGTGCGTCGGGGGACAGAGAGAGAAAGAGAGAGATCTCTGGTGTCTCTTCTTGTAAAGACAGCAATTCTATTGGATTGGAGCCCCATCGTTATGACCTCATTTAACCTTGTTATGTCCCTAAAGGTCCCATCTCCAAATACAGTCACATTGGGGTCTGGGAGATCCAACATATGAATTTTTCAGGGAGAACACAGTTTAGTTCATAACAGTGTCCATTATAGCTCTTGTGAATTGTCTTTGAAGGTGAAGTAATTGTCCTCTTAGCAGGAGATGGAAGAGAAGGCACACTGATTGAGGGCCAGCTGAATGCCATTCCTTACTGTTCCATAATCTCATCTGACTCCTCCACAATCCTATATGAGGGGAGGTGGAGGCTCACAGATATTGTGACCACCCAGACAGTAAGAGGACAACAAAGCATTCGAACTTGAGGTTTTTTTTTTTTAACGTAACAGTTTAAGTATCCTTATTGTTTATCATTTCAAATTTGCCCCTAATTTATACTCATATTCAGACCTCAATATTACACTTCAGTTACACAGCCAGTAAAAAATAAGACAGTTGAAGCAAATAACTGAAGTAAAAAAAAATTCCTTTGTTCCTAAGTAAAAATGATTTAGTTCTGAAGCAGGTGGATAATATAAAGAAGGGAAGGGTCTGGGCAAGGTGGCTCACGCCTGTCATCCTAGCACTTTGGGAGGCTGAGGCAGGCGGATCCCTTGAGGTTGGGAGTTTTAGACCAGCCTGAGCAAGAGCGAGACCCCCTCTGTTCAAAAAATAGAAAAAATTAGCTGGGCGTGGTGGTGGGGCACCTCAGCTACTCAGGAGGCTGAGGCAGGAGGATCACTTAAGCCCAGGAGTTTGAGGCTGCAATGAGCTATGATGACGCCACTGCACTCTAGCTGGGGTGACAGAGTGAGAACTGTCTCAAAAAAAAAAAAAAAAAGAAACGATCAAGGAAGAAATTGATTATATCAAGAGACCATCCTTAGCAAATCTAGTTTCTTATTAACCAATCTGAGAGTTACCCTGATTTGCTCAGAGGAAGCTCAGTCTTTGTTACCAACATTGCTTGTTCCTAGATTAACTAAGTTTTTACACTGAGTTTTTACTTTTTCGCAATTAGGTGTATGGCATTATTTTCTTGCATACTACAATCCCACTGGGGGAAAATGATTAGAAAGTCCTTTGTCAAACTTGAGTTTTTAAGCTCACGCATGCTGCCTTTGCGCTGGAGGAAACTTCTCCTTGAAACCTTGCTGAATTCCTATGACTATGTCTTTAAGCCTGGAGCTGTCAGGGAGATGGCTTGGCAGGCCCTTTAGGGTGTCTGGAAGGGTCTCTGAATTCAGCAGTGATTTGATCAGAGTTGCGCTTTGGGGAGGTAATTGGCCATGTGTGTGTGTGTGTGTGTGTGTGTGTGTGTGTGTGTGTGTAACTGACAGGAGGGGGAGACTGGAGATCCTCTAGAAGCCTGTTGCATAGTCTGGTTGAGAGATAGTGACAGGCAGCGCAAGGGTCATATAGAAAGTGCTAGATGCCCATGACCCTGTGAAGGCAGAGTCAGAGTTTTGGTAAATGATTCAGTGCAGGTCATGGGGTAAAGAGACTGAGTCCAGAATGAGGCCCAGGTGGTACCCCTGAAAGAAATGAACCAAACCTGAGCCCAGGACATTCTGGTACCCCAAGCTCTCCTGGCCCCATTCCAACCCCTTCTCAGATGCTGAGGGGGAGGAACCTCAGGACAGCCTGAGATGGCTTTAAGTATGATGTCCCCCTTTGAGAGATGGGTACTGGAGAGGACTTATTGAATTTATGATTAATCTAATATAGTTAATCATTTCTGGTAATTATGTCCTTAACAGTACAGCATTAGGCTTAATAATTGATCAAGCAAGAGGTGATAAATGGAAAGATAATGGCTCAGGACAGGTAGGTCACTTGCAGAAGGAACATTTTGATTAAAAGTGGACTGTTACCCCACCAAGCTTTCAGCAGAAAGAGGTGGATGTCTCTAAACAACCTGCTTCCCTCTGGTTTCCCCTTCTTAATGAATGGCATCCACCCAGGTACTCAAGTCCTAAATCTAGGAGTCTACCCTTGATTACCCTGTCCCTCATTTGCTACATCTAACCCATCAACTTTGTTTCTAACACATTCTTCCAATCCCTACACTTGTCTTTGTTTCAACTGCTACCACCCTAGTCCAAGCTGCTGTCTTTGTTCACCTAGATGCAGCCACACGTGCCTTTCCCACTTTTTTTTTTTTTTGAAACAGGGTCTCACTCTGTCACCCAGGCTGGAGTGCAGTGGTGTCATCATGGCTCACTGTAACCTCCAACTCCTGGGCTCAAGCAATCCTCCTGCCTCAGCTTCCCGAGTAGCTGGGACTACAGGCGTGCACCACCACTCCCGGCTGATTTTTCTATTTTTCTGTAGATATGGGATCTTGCTCTTGCTCAGGCTGGTCTCGAACTCCTGGCCTCAAGCGATGCTCCCGCCTCGGCCTCCCAGAGCCCTAGGATTACAGGCGTGAGCAGGAAGTCTTTGCTTTGTTGGAATGCTCTCCCTCTGATCCAGTCCCCTTCCAGTCATCCAGTCTTGGGTATTTAATATATGTCCTTCTAACCTGTCTTCTGTGTGTTTAGACATACGTGTATCCTTGAAAAATTCCGTGTTTTGTGCATGCGTCTGTGTGGCCTCTAGGACGTTTGTAGAATAGAAAAATAAAAATACTATGTGGATTTAGAGAATTATTATTGTTATTAGTAGCATCATCTCTAATTACTTGGGTATCCATGGAATCACATAATTTAACAGCTAGGAATCACTTGGAAATCACTGGCCCCAAAGCCCTCCTTATTTGATAAGGTGACTGAGGCCCAGAGGCTTCCTTGTAAATAATTCTTTTCAAGGAAATTGTCAATATTTACTGGGAACCTGTACTGGGCAAGAAGACCCTAAGCCTCCAGACATGCTGGAGGATGTGGGGACCAAAGGCAGACTTCTGGAGGAGGCCCCACAGGCTGTGGGATTTCCCATGTCTTCTTCACTATTGGGCATTGGGCTCCCAAAAGACTTGCAGATTATCTGATTTGGGGGTACAGTCCTCCCCCAATCCTCTCCTTTTCATTTTTACTGTTTTCCCAGGTCCCATCGTCCCCTTCTGAGCCAGTGGTGCTCAGGGACCCCAGCACAGTGGAGTGCCCAGCCCCCACTCTGCTCTTTCTTATCCTTCTCTTGGCGGATGCCTCTTCTTTCTACGGCCCACCCTGAGTGTCCTGCTCGAGCACAGAGTCCTCACCTGACCTTATCTTTGTGTTTCCAGATTGGAGCCTCTCTCTTTGCTAGTAACATCGGCAGTGGCCACTTTGTGGGGCTGGCCGGGACCGGAGCAGCTTCAGGCATCGCCATGGGGGGCTTTGAATGGAACGTGAGTCAGACCAGAGCGACGGTACCCTGGAGCGGGAAGGACCCTTAGCAATCAGCCAGTTTAGTCTATGCTCCGAGGAGCTCCAGGTGTTTGGGAACCTTGCAGGGCCACCCCAGGGTGCAGATAGAGGAGGGGCATGGCTTCAGGGTCCCAAGAGTCCTGCTCCCCTTCCTCCAGAGTAGCATGAGAACACCACTGATCGGATACCAATAAGTATTTCTTCTCTTTCCTCTTGATGTTAAAAAGCCAAAGCCCCAGTACCCTTCCAGCCATGTTGGAGGATTACCACCAGATTTCCATTATTATATTATCATCATCATCATCATTATTATGGCTCTTCAAATGATATTTTACTCCTTGTAAACCAGGGAAGGGGTGAAGGTGAACTTGGCGTTCTGGCTGGGGCTCAGGCTGTGATGTTGGCGGACAGGCTCCTGGGCTCCCCTTTCACCATTGCCCAGCTGCTGTTTCCACAGGCCGGTCAGGCAGCAAAGGCCTGCTCCAGTCTCTAAGGTTTCCCTAGCGAGTGTCCTCAGAGCCAAAGAAAGAAAATGCTGAGTGATTTTTCTGCAGCAGCTGAGGGACCCTTCAGGTGGCAGAGATGGGCTAAGTTTCCTCCTGGTTTAAATCCACCTCTCGTTTTGGTTTCAGGCCCTGGTTTTCGTGGTTGTGCTGGGCTGGTTGTTTGTCCCCATCTACATTAAAGCTGGGGTGAGTATCTACTCTGTTATTCCATTTCCTGAGGGATATATACCTGTGAGTTTGGTCCTCCTGGAGGGCAGAAGAGGCTTTATGGGATAAATGGCAGAGAAAACCTGTGGGTTGGCTTTTGCTCCCAGGTTATAAAGTTCTCAGCTGCCCGCAGGGGCGTTAAACAGATCCACTGGGCCTGGGTCTGATGAATCTTTCCAGTCCAGGCTCATGACTCTTTCCTCTAGGAAGCTCCCCAAGCAACCTCACTCTGTTCACACCCCTCTGAAGCATCATGTCCCCTCCCCCTGGGTGTGTACTTAATACTGCACTGCCATGCATTTGCTCTTATATAACTAATTTTCTGTAGCCTCTGCCCCTAGAAAGGAAGCAGCTTGAGAAATAGAAGAACTGTATTTTCCCGTCATTTACGCACATCAGCAGCTCGTTTGCTAAGCACGCAGCTACTACTCAACTATTAAATGCATGCTTGATCTCCTAACTGTGCCTCTCTGAAATTGTACACAGGGCAGTTTTAGTATCAACTGTCCTATGAGATCTAATGGACACCCACTACATGTGAGTGTCTATATATTAGGAGCTAGAAGCAATATGGGAAAAAAATACAGGGCAGACTCTGCATCTTCTAGAGGCTCACAGATGGCAGGTGACACATGTCTGGTCCCAGGAGACAA